GATTCTGTCTGGGATTCCGTGTAACCTGATTACCTTTGTGGATGCAACACAGGTCATAATCAGGCACTGCAATTTGTATCTTTCTCTGCCATGATCGCTAGGATGCTTTTTCATGTTGAGTCTGTGTTTCAGTAATTGAACAAGTTTCAAAACAGCTCAAAGCATTCCTCAGATTGAGGAATGGGAGACTGGGGAGCCACAGGGTGGGGTTAATTTGCTCTAACCCCAACCCTTTGCTGTTGATTGACACTCGTGGCAACCCAATAGGGCAGAGTAGAACCACGACCACAGGGCTTCCTAGGGGGTCACCTTTTGGGGTTCCTGGAGAGCAACTGGTGAGTTTGAACCACTGGCCTTTGGGTTGCCAGCTGAGCATGCTATCACTGCACTACCAGGGTTCCCATCCAAAGATCTCAACTGGAGCAGAAAACATCTTCTGTTTTTCTTACGTTACTGGATAGATACCAATTAGGTGTCTGAGGCATCTCTGCTCTATTCCTAGTTGGCTGAATGCTTCTTATCACTACTGGGCATTGTTGTTGTTGTTGTTGTTGTTGTTGTTGTTGTCAGTTGCTGTTCAGCCAGTCCCAGCTCATAGCAGTCCCGTGCCTAAACTAATGGAACCTTGGCTGGTCCTACGCCCTCCTCACAATCGCTACGTTTTAGCCTGTTAGTGCAGCCACTGTGTCTAGCCATCTCATGAGGGGTCTTCCACTTTGCCACTGACCCTGCACCAAGCACAATATCCTTCTTCAGGGACTGGGCCCTCCTGATCCCAGGTTCAAGTGTGTGAGGCAAGGTCTTGCCATCTTGGCTTCTAAGGAGCATCCCGATGCCCCTCTTCCAAGTCAGATTTGTTTGTTCTCCTGTAAGTCCGTGGGATCTTCAATGTGCTTCGCCAACACTACAATTCAAAGGCATCCCTTCTTCTTTCTTCCTCGATGTCCAACTTCCACATGCACACGAGGTGTTGGAAATACCATGGATTGGCTCAGGCGCACCTTAGTGTTGAATGACACACTTGCCCTTTAACACTTGAAGGAGGTTTTCTGCAGTGGATTTGCCCGAGGCAATATGTCCTTTGATTCCTTGACCATTGGCACGAGAGGAGCCCTGGTGGTATAGCTGTTACTCATTGGACTGCTAACTACGAGGTCAGCAGTTCGAAACCACCAGCTGCTCCTCTGGGGAAAGAGGAGGTTTTCTACTTCCGTGTAGAGTTCCAGGCTGGGAAACCCACAGGGGCAGTTCCACCCTGTCCTATTGGGTCCTGATGAGTTGACATCGACTCGGCAGGGAGCTTGGTTTTGTTCTTGGTGCCACGAGCACTGATGGTGGACTCAGGTAAAGTGAAATCATGGACCACTTCAGTATTTTCTCTCTTTGCCACTGTGCCGACTGGCGTAGTTGTGAGGACTTGGGTGGTCTTTACCTTGAGTTGTAGCCCATACCGAAGGCGGCAGTCCTTGATCTTCATCAGCAAGTGCTTTGAGTCTGTATTGCTTTCAGTAAGCAAAGTTGTATCATGTGGATGTTGGAGTGTAATGAGCCTTCCTCCAATCCTGATGCTGCATTCCTCTACATATACTCTGGCTTCTCCGATCACTTGCTCAGCATACAGCTTGAATAATACTAACAATGATAATAATAATAAGTCACTGCTATCAAGCCAGTGCTGACTCACAGCAAGCCCCTGTGAGTTTCCGACACTGTACTTGTCTACGGGAGTAGAAGGACCAGGCTTTCTCCATGGAGCTGCTGGTGGTTTTGAAGTGCCGACCAGACCATGCTGATCGCATGCCTACAGCCCCTAACCACGACACCACCAGGGCTCCTATGGATCGAATAAGTGTGGTGAAAGGTGACAACCCCGGTACACACTTTTCCTGATTTTGAACCAGCCAGTATCCCCATACGCTGTTTAAATGACGGCCACTTGGT